ACACAATCCTCAGAAAGTTGGTAAAGACCATACACTGGAGGATGAGGATGTCATTCAGATTGTGAAGAAGTGAAACCTTCTCCTTTCCTTATCTGCCGGGGCAACCACAGCAACTTTCCCATGACCAAGCACCCTACCCCCACTCTTTCTGGCTTTGGCAGCCACTGGATCAGGATTCAGGGGAGGGAGAGGGAGACACTCAAACTGGAACTTCACTTGTCTTACCTTGGTGTCATCTTGTATGTCGAGCTGCATAAAAGATCTGGTAGGCTGGTCAGCTGCGTGCAGTTCATGTGTCATTGTCAGAATTTGTTTTGGGATGGGCTGAACGAGGATATGTCCAGTGAGGCAACTATAGAGGTGATGCTAGGGAACTTGGTCTTGAGTGTGAAATGGATAAAAATTGATGCACAGCATCTTATTTGATGTTTAGTCATGGGAAACCCTTCCGACTGGATGTGGCTGTCAGTCTTTTCAAGTGGTCTTTTCCACATGATACTGGAGAGAGGAAGGACTTGATTATTACCTGCAAGGCTAACCCATTTTGGAAGATGGGTAATGTGGCAGTTCAATAAAGTACTCTGACCAGGCAAATTGGGGTTTGAATTACAGGTCCATCTCTAATTAGCTGGGAGACCCTGAACAAATTACCTAATCTCTAGGAGCCTTAGTTTCCTCATATATCATGGGATAGTAATAGCATTTTCCTTCTAGGGGGTGGATTGTTAGTATTTAGAGAGATGGTACTTGTAAATTGCTTAGCACTGTATCTGACATGTAAGTACTCAGTGAATGCTGACTCTTCTTGTCTCTGGGCGGTTTATGTTACTGGGCTCCCTGTCTGCCCCAGTCAGAATACACTTGTATATCATCAGTGTTGGGTTGAATATACCATGCTGCCAGCTTGGCCACTAAGTGTCTCCTTTCCCTGGCCTCAGCCACATAACTTGGGCGAGGGCATGAATGCAGAACATTGCTAGTGAGGCAACTAGTTTGATCAGAGCGGATTTGTGTGTACACATATGTGTATGTATAGAGATGGGATGTTAAGTTGGGAGAAGAGTTCATGTTAGGATTACTTGAGAGGATATTAAGGACTAATCAGGTTTTGGGGGCTGGGAATAAGGGAATTTAAGGGGATTGCTTTGATTATGTGAAATTAATTGACAAAAAGCTTGGTGTAGTGGGCTAATGAGAATATGGGCAGAGGGAGGGTGTAGCCACATAGGTACAGAGGAGAAATCTAAGCTTGATAACTGATTGACTTGCTCTTTGGAAGAAGCGAAGTCAAAGATTATTTCAGTATGGATTACAGAGATTATTGATAAGAGTAGGGTCATTAGTCCCTGAGAAAATCAAGAAGGGGACAGGTTTATAGGAAGGTGGAATATAAATCTTACAAGACATTATTGAGTGTCTTATAAGCCAGGGTCTATTAGAGGGAAAGAAAGTCAAGTCCACTGACCCTTTTTTGTGTGTGTGAAAAATAGAGACAGGCACAAACACAATCCAGGAATGACAACAGCTTAAACTCTGGTTCTTCAATAATTCCATTCCCTTTACTAACAACTGATTCAAAAATGGACATGTGACCCAACTGAGGCCATGAGACATAGGGACAAACCAGCTAGGTGACTTCTGGGAAATGACTTCCCAAAAAGGTAAGATTTCGCCCTCTTTATTTTCTCCTGGTGCTGACATAGAGCTTGGGTCTGTGGCAGACATTCTATGACTTATATGGGGAATGTCTGTCTTCAAATGAGGCAAGCTAGAGGTTTTAGCAGGTTGTGAGAGACAGAGTTGTTGGATTATCCACATACTCAACCTTTGTCCAGTGCTTTTTCTTCCCTCTGCCCTGATAGTTGTTTCCCTTTGATAATTTTTGTGGAGGTTGGGCTTAGTGCTGTCTACAGACCCACAGATAACCCCCTTAGGCCTGCATCCTAGTCACTTCACAATATAGACCTTGATATCACTGGTGCATTCATGACAGAGGCCATGATCAAGAGCCTGCCCCAGCTCTGCAGGGAAACAGGAAAACACTGCCTTTCTGAACTATTGGATTTCCAGCAAGGTTTGCTTTCCAGCCAACCTTGGTTTCTGGGGAAATCTTCATGCCGAAATTCACTTTCACTGAGGAAACATTTAGCACTGCCAGGATGTTGGGGAGAGAGAGTTACTGAAATTCAGTTTACCTATGGTCCCAGGATGTGCCTTGTATCTATCATTCTCCACTTGATCCCAAGGCCCATAGTCCTTGAGGAGAACCTTATCCTACCTTTTCCATTTTAGGCTTAGACTTGGTAATTCTGGGAGACGGGTACAGTTTGGTGTGAGGAATGCTGCTGGGGATAGGACCACTGTGGAGGTATATTCCTACAGCCTCCTACAGCTAAGGACTTTCTCTTTGTGAATTCCAAGTCTATACTGGTTTGGCCATCATAGCATGACTTGAATTTCCTGTGTTAAAATATTACATGTTGTTTCTTTCCTATCTTCAGTACAACTAAGCAGATCCCACTGTTCTGTGCCATTAAACAGAATGCTTTTGGCTGCATTTAGCACAAAAAGCACTAACTTCAGACAGGAAACTTGGTCTCTCAAAAAAGTTGTCTGGAGCTCAAATGGGTTCATGGTAGTTGTGTGTCATTGAGTGAGATCCGGGTTCTTCCTGCCAGTCTACTCTGTCCACTGAAGTTTGTTGGCTTTGGTGGGCAGTTGCCTCACTTTATAAGCTACAGAATGTCTGCCACAGACCATCCAGGAGGTAATAAAGAGGGCTGAATCTTTTTGGGAAGCCATTTCCCAGAAGCCACCTTGCCAGTTTGTTCTTATGTCTCATGGCCTCAGTTGGGTCACATATCCATTTTTGAATCAGTTGTTGGTAAAGGGAATGGGATTATTGAAGAACCAGAGTTTTGGTTATCTTCATTCCTGGATTGTGTTTGTGCCTGTTTTTCACAAAAAAAGGCCAGTGGACTTGACTTTCCTTCCTTCTAATAGAGCCTGGCTTATAAGACACTCAATAGTTATCTTGTGAAGGAAGACCTATCTGCACTCTTCATTTTATTCCCATTTATTCCCACTGACCTCCCAAGCACTACTTACTCAACTGCTTGCTTTCCTCTCCTACCATACTTCCCCTTCTTAAATTGCAGATTTTCCATGATGTCTGTGGCCCTTGGCTGTTGTACTTTGAGGATGCCGTCTACATTCTTAGATTATTTATTTTGTGCATCCTTCCAGCACTGATTGCTTAAACCCATCTCGTGCCAGTTATAGGCCTTCTGAAGTTTCTCCAAAGAAACTCCCTGCCCTCATCTTAAGCTGTTCGCTCCTTGAAGGCTGTATTCACCTCTTTTGCTTCCACTCCCCATCCCACCCCCTTCCTCCTGCTGTGTTTACCAAAGTAGCTTTGCTAAAACCTGTATGTCTAGCTTCTGCTGATAATCTTAGCCAATATACTCATTTCATTGTCCCATATGGCCAACTACCAGCCAATGGCTTTGCCCTTTGCTTGGTGCTTCTGTTTGTTCATTTCCGTCCCAGCAGCTTCTAGCCTGAAAAGGAAGCCCTTACTGGCAGCTTCAACCCAATCCCCTTATCCTATGCCTATTAGTCCTGTGGGTTCAACATGAAGGGGATATAAGTGGAAGAGGATATACAGGATAGGTGGAACTGGATTCAGGCATCTGTGCTCTGTCATTGACACTTAGGAATGCTTTCTGGCTTCCACTTGTGGAAACCAGAAAGCATTTGCTAAAAATTCCAAACATAGGGTCTATTTCTGAAGCTGAGGAATCACACTGAGTGTGAATCACATTGGGGGGTGAGCGGGGTTGGGCAGGGTTTATTAATGAGGTTGAAAGGAAAGTACCAGGAGGACCTCATGCTTAATCCACAAAGTCAGGTTTTATTGAAAAGTAACCAGTTTTCTTGTGTTTCTGGAAATATAGGCCAGGTGGGCAGTTCTAGGTTTATAGTCAACACCCCTAACACTCAAGACTCACACTGTTTTTTACCCTTGGACTTAAAATTCAACTACCTTGGCATTCACCTGTGAATTGGAAAATAGCTTCATTTATTTGACCCCTATCACAGAGAGTAGCTTTTTAAAATTTTTATTTTTTTGAGTTGAAGTCTCTGTCACCCAGGCTGGAATGCAGTGGCATGCTCATGGCTACTGCAGCCTCCACCAGCTAGGCTCAAGCAGTCCTTCCACCTCAACCTTCCACGTAGCTGGAACTATAGGCATGTGCCCCCATGCCCAGCTAATTTTTTGATTTATTGTAGAGACAAGGTCTTGCTATGTTGCCCAGGCTGGTCTCCCCTGGGCTCAGGCAGTACTCCCGCCTCTGTCTCTCAGAGTAGTCAAAGTAGCTTTTATGGCCTAAATAGACAAGTGTCTGAAACTCTGGCAAATAAACTTCAGGAGCTTGAGAAATCAGTATCATCACATCAGGTCAGCACTGAAAAACCTGTCAGGAAAGGGGATTCAAGCCCCTGTAGAATTCTGTAGAATCCTTCTTTAATGCTGTATATGGTTAAGGCGAACAACAAAACAAGTGTGAACTTAAGAATGAGATACAGAACACATGGAGTCAGTTAAGACAGGCATCAGACTTCAGTGGGTTGAATCAGAACTCTGAGCTAGAGAAACAGGATGCTCCAGTAAACATGATTTGGGAGAAACTACCATATACACGATTTCCCTATAAACACTGTTTTCACTAGGTGGGTTTAATTTTAGAGATTACACTACAGATTTTCTGGTATTCGCCACAATAAGGTCAGCTCCACCTAAACTGACCTACTGGGGTCTTTAAGGCTCAAGGAAGAAGACCATAGTTGCTTCCTCCTAAATCAAGATAGATTTCAGGGTTATGGGTTTTTAAAAAAAACTTCATTTACCTCAAGGAACATACTGAGCCTCATGGCTCAACTGGTTAGAAATGAGGAAGAAGAGATTCCGGGAGAAAATGAACACAACGATGCCATTCACTTCATTCACACTTAGCATATGCAACTTTAATCAACCAAAAAAAAAAAAAAGTCCCAAATGTACAAGTGAAAAAATCCAAACTGTCGACACAGGCTTAACTAATATCAGCTACTTTTATGTACAGCTGTATAAGTTCAAAAAAGCTATCCTATATGTATTTACAAAAGTTGTTTATACACAGGTCTGTACATAGGGTCTATACATTTATTTCCTCAGAACCCTTAGGTGCCACCTCTTGGTGAGGACACCAACACTTCATTCACATATCTTACAAAAAGAAAAACTGTTTCTAGGATTGACAACACTGTGCAACCCATATTCAGACAATGTAGGCGCCGCTCAATTGGTTAAGATCTTTCCAACATAATACAAACCACACTAGGTGCATGGGCCCCTCCTACACAGTTTCACACAGAGTGCTCCAAAGAAAAGCCCATAAGTGAACCCAAGATGAGGAAGCAGAGTCCAGACCAGGGTGCCACTATAGGTCCCAGGCTTAGGTGAGCCTGTCTACCCTGCTGCTCACTGTCGGTATTCCAGTTCATCTACACTGATGACTTTGGCAGGCATGGAGGGCAGGGGCTGCTGTAGCACATCTGAGCCAAACCATTTGGCAAGACCCACAGGAGAGCTACTCCTCTGGCTAGGGCGATGCTCCAGCTGGGAGTGCATGTGGGGCAGGCCTGACCGGTTGGGCACATTCTGAGAGGTCTGAACGCTGACAGCTGCTGCCTGGGAACCAGAGCCTGGAGGATGCAGAACTGTGGAGATAGGAAAGGTTATCATTCACAGCATGGGGGAGAAAGCAGTTCTTTATCAGGCCCTGCTTCATTCAAATTAAACAGAAGACTTTACTAGAGGATTTATTCTAGGCTTCTTTAGAAACTCCTTTATAAAATACCAACAATGCCAGAGGACAGTACCTTGGAAAGCTGAGCTATTTAGAAGCCATCAATATTGAAAACTCATCCTGATGACATGACCACTACTTCCCGTGGCAAATAACCATATCACAGAAGCAGTAACCTATGCTGAACCTCTGATGGAAGGATTCCCAGCCCTCTCTCCTGAGAGGCAAAAGACAAAGAAAACCAGGGCACATTTGGCTCTCCTCTATTGTCTTTGCAGGAACAGTAGTCCCACAATGCATAGAGGTCGGTTTTCTTCATCTTATTCTCTGGTTATACCTTTGCTCCGATCTTGCTAGGGTAAGTTAAAGAATGAAGTGTCAATGTCCTAAAAACTGGTCTTAAAAGATTCAAGGCTACTTAAGCCCATCCCAAACTCACCTGGCCCATTCCTAAACCTACCTGAGCGCTGCAGCTGCTGTTGCATCATTGCCAGATGTAGAGGTGTCCCTGGACGAGGGTTTAACAGAGGGTGACTAGCAGCAGGTAAAGGGTAGAAGGGTTGACCCAGGATTGGGCCAGATAATCCCTGTAAATGAGTCAGATCCATCCCAGGAGGAAGCACGCCTGTTGAGCAGAAAAAACAAACAGCTGAGTATTATCTGGAAATTTTTAGCCTCTGGACATTTTTAGTCTTGACTATATAGTTTTGCTGATCTGGAGGTTAATTAAGAATGTTCAAGTTAGGTTCCTTTTTTTTTTTTTTTGAGTTGGAGTCTCATTCTGTCGCCCAGACTGGAGTGCAGTGGCTGGAGGCTCCCGGCCACCGCAGCCTCGACC